TTATGGGTAATGCTGCAATGATCTGTTTGGTGTTTGGAGCCAGACACTTCAGAGACAGGCTCTGTATATATCTGAGACCTGTAATATATTGATGAAAATATAAGGGGACCTTTAACATTGTGTCTCTTTCTTCACAGCTGAGCTAGAGAAACAGAAGGGGGTCGTGAGGCCCAGCATGTCCCAGACTTCAGCCATGAAGAAGGACACGGGAAACGGGTCTCTGAGTCGCGGGAGCCTCGACGACAGCTACGCCATTGGTGAAGGTTTGAAGAGGAGCGCACTCAGCAGCTCCCTACGAGACCTCTCAGACGCAGGTAAAATCAGGGGATACCATACTAACTCATGTCTCATCCTAATGCTAGACAAAAGTATACCCAAGTGATGTTATTTGATTAGGAAACTAGGAAGTATTGTGGAAATATTTTCCTAGGCCCATAACTTTGACCCAGTTTATCAGTTTGTATTGCTTAGTTTATTTGTTTATAGTGTTGTGGACAGTCCCCATTGATCAACTGTCACAAAAACATTTCCAGCGGTTATCCCCGGCCAGATGGTAATAGACACCTTTTTAAAATCACAACACATCAACAGCATTAGTTATATACACTGAGCACAGGCCTGCACCCTTGGGCTGCTCTCAGTGTTTTGTCTCCCTGTTCCTGCCTGTTGGCGTCAACTGATAGAAGTGTTATTATAGTGCTTTTACTTGTTACGAACAATGCTGATTATTCTCTCAGAACTAGCTAAATACATGGGTCTGGGGTAGAGATCTTCAGAATTGGTTTGGCAGCAGCTGTGTCACCTCGTGGCTCAGCACATGTCTTGTGAATTCTCCGGCCGAAGCTCCAAATAAGCCATCAGTGTTTGCCATCAAAGTTCCTGCTCTCCTCGTGTCTCTCTGAGTCTCCATTGCTTCAGAAGTTTCCATCACAGGAAGAAGCTGAGTTCCTGTTGGGCGGTAGCCACTGCGACTGACCTTCTGATGCAGAGTGAACAGAGCCTCTGAGCAGTGAAGGAAATAGAGATGGGTGTTTGCTAATGGGCTCAGGTGTAATTCACTAGAGGCTCTTACCTATTAGTCCTGCGTTGCCGGCAGTGGAGCGCCATGTAGGTCACTGTGATCAATCTGAGCGTCTAAGTCGTAATATGATCTGATGTTGTGGGGTTGAGTCAGAATGGACAGAGCCGCCAAACACATTCAGTGACCTCAGGACAGCTTTCTCAGTGCTGATGAATTGAGACGAAGCATCTTTTAGTTAGCAGCTTTTATAGAGAGCAACAAGAGTGGATTTTGGAGGCCTTTGAAGCATTTTACCTTCTTCAGACCCTAGTGATTTTAGGAGTGTTATTCATGTGTTCAGACTGTGAAGTCTTCCCAATCTTCCCAATGTATGTCAATGGGAAAAAGTATTGTGGGCCCAACGATGTCAGGCATTTCATTCAACACCTGACGCACTTCCTGGGTGCTTGATATTTCCTTTAGGAGAGTTTTGCCTCTTCATCACTCAGTTTAAATACATTTGAGGTTTGATTGTGGTTGGTTTAAAAGTGACTCTTGAGGGACGGCTTTCTTGACCGTTGTTGGGAAAACGTTTTCTGAGCTTGTGCATAAATGCATTTGGGTATCTGGAGTGCCTAAGACGCCCTTGACAGTTGTTTGTGACCTCCATAGATCAGAAAAACATTTAACATTTACCACAAGACGAGAGTCAATAACATATTTGGTTAAATGATGGGATACATTGGACATTGTTTTTCCTACTTGGGATAACATATCTGGGCATATCAGCCTGTTCTGCTTCGATTTGGATCATCCTTCTTTTTTTCTCTCTTGTGAGTCTTGCAAGTTAATGGATGTGAAATGTTACTGTATATTGCCAGAGTTTCCCTTTAGCGCTGTCAGATTGCAATGTTTTCACTGACTATGAGGGCCTCCTTCCAGCTGTGCCTCAAGTAGCTGAGTAGAAAATATGAAAGTTGACGTATCCTAGAGGCGAGGAGTTGTAGCAGTGCTTTGCTTCTTCCCTCTCCTTATCAGCCTCCCTCTCCCTTTCTGCTGCTAGCTAGTCATCTGTCATTGTC